CTAATTTGGTTTTATTTTTGCCCTCCAGTTACCTAATGTTAAGGTTCGATGAATAAAGCATGCACAGCTACAGCTTTCTACTTCTGGGTTTGCTATTAAAAATGCCATTTACCCGCATACCCTTCTCAGACCTTCATATTTTCTTTGCCTCTATTCTTCTATACTGCAGATTTTTCTCACTTATTGTACAAAGAAATTGCAATGTATATTTTCATGTAATTTGATTTTGGAATTCTGTCACCCTATGTAGTGAGTTCTTCCAAAATATAATTTTTTTCCAATAATTGTCAAGTTGTTGGCTTTTATTGTATTAAATGAAGGTTATAATACTGAATGCCAGAGAAGTGCAGTTTAGAAAAATCTCAGGTTGATTCCTTATGCAAACAAACGTTTGATACTTGAAAATCACATGGCCATGGCAGTATATATATTTGTCTCTATCTAGATTCTTATGTGAATCTCAAAGCATTATTATTGCTTTGCTATATGACATAAATTCTGTCACTGACATAATGCACTTGGATTTTATTAATGTTTGAGCATAAATATATTTCATACGTTTTCTAAAACAGCTTAAGGAAATGGTAAAATGAGCACATACAGTGTTAAAGGCAGGTCCATATTCTTCTCTGTTTGGTATGAGGTTGGGATTGGGAAGTAGTCTTTGGCATATAAGGGATAGAACTTGAGACAGTACCAGATGGAACATGGTGTTTAATTGTGAGAATCAGTGAGAATTGGTGCATCTCTGCTCTGTGGAGTTTGGAGAAATACTTCGGCAGAAGAGTGAAAGAATTCCTGCAAGTAGCCTAGTTCTGTACTAACTTTGCATGTCCTTTTTAATGCAGAAGTAAAATGGTTAAGGGTGTAGTCACCGTAGAGAAATGATTTTTCTAAATCCCAGGCTGTTCTCCTTTCTGGAGCATTATAAAAATCCATAAATGTGGAATGACTGAATGTGAAAATCTTTTATTTTATTCATTGTGGCCCAATTTCTTCAAGAACTTTTTTTTCCCCAGACTTAAGAATTGTTGCCCCAAAGTGCCAGTAATGCATACCTACCTGGGATTTTGAACATAATCCCTTTACTCTTAAATCAGAAATTGTTCACATGGTGGTGGTCATGACAAAATGGAGTCTGAATACTGCTCTCTGTTAAAATTCTGCCTAGCAATCTGTAGAGTGAAAACCTAGCAATCTGACTCTTCAGGGAGTGGCAAATGGCCTAGTAACTCAGGGACAACTATTCTTGAACTTCACGTGCCACTTTAACGCAATTACTTTGGTATAACCATATGTGTTTAGAGTTTAGATCTAGGGGAGTAGAAGGGAGAGCCGTAAATGAGTGCACCTCTCTTCACACTCCTTCCCACCTGGTGCCCTGACCATGCTACATAGGGAAACACAGGCCTTGATAGATGTTTTCACTTCTTTTCCTCTGTCAGAGGTGACTTCTGTGCCTTTCCAAGAGTTCATCTGACAGTGTGAATTTAAATGTCTCTATATTTGTTATTAAATCACACTTGGGTGACACTGATCCAGGTGGCTGTTGTCCCACCAGTGCCTTGCCATTAGTGTGAAGGTGAGTACTCTCTGCTTTAGGAAAAGGATTTTTCTTTCTAACTTTGTGCCAACTATCGACTTCTCCACAGTCTTATGGATTATTGAATTTTGGCTGCTTCCTAAATTTATTCCCAGTTCTTATAAAGGCTTATAGATTTCAGTCTGTTCATAATAGGACAGATGATCTCAGCGGCTTTTTGGCCCCTTTGTGAGTTTAAAATCCATATGAGGTTGGTTTTCTTGTCATAAGGTGTAATGTCTTTGTGAGGTTATTCCACTGGTTCCACTGGATCACTTGGGTGTGTCATAGTATTTTTTAATGGCTTTCATTCCTGGTTGTGAAATTTTATATACTCACCCTTTACAAATCTGCCCATTTTGGGTTGTGGTGCCTGTGTATCTTTGCCCGTATGGTCTCCAGTTGGTGGAATTACCTTTTTTGTACTGCCACTTCTCAGCGTCTTTGAAATCTGACAAAATGTTGCTTCGTTCCAGTTTTTAGCTCTGTAATTTGTTGATTGTATTTAACTATGTGAGTTCTGTTGTGATGTTTACTGTATTGTAAAGCACCTCGATCATGTGATGGGGCTCTATAAATCAATAAATGATGACTTAGAGGCTGTATCATGAGCTATTTTGGTTTTAGGATGCAGGTCTCCAAAGCAAGTTGTGGGATTCTTTCTATATAAACAGCACATGATACCAAAAGGTCCACAGGGGAACCTTGATAAATTATTTTTAAAAGTTCATTTAAGGAGGGAACCAGAGAGTGGGAAGTTAACTTCCAACCTGATATAATGGTCTTGAATTTTCTAGTACTCTTTAATCAGAGTTTTCTGTGATGCTGATTTAGAATCTAAATAAAATGGGTATACATTAGAGCATTATTGGAAATGTTGTCTTCAGCCTAAACTGATTCTGTTATGAATATAATAAGCAAAAGGTGAAGACCCAGACTCAAATGTGAACTGGAAGAGACCACAGGCACAATCTTATCTCAATCATCACCTTCTCTCCTTTATTTTTAAAATATGTTTTTATTGATTTTTTTGAGAGGGGGTGGGGAAGAGAGAAATATCGATGAGAGAGAAACATTAATTGCCTGCCTCCTGCACGCCCCCCACCAGTGATCGAGCCTATAATCCCAGGCATGTGCCCTAACTGGTCATCGAATTGGGACCTCTCAGTCCATGGGACGATGCTCAATCCACTGAGCCAGGCTCTGCCTTCTCTCCTTTAAACAGATGGGCACACTTGGCCCAAATACCTGCCCAGGACCACTTAGTGGCAAAAGAAGCAAAACAGTACTTTACTTTTTTGTTTGTTTGTTTTTAATAGGATGTTAATATTCAGCTTCTCACCCGGCATCCTTACTATATTTCTTAGAGTGTTAGGTGTTGCAAGCTCATTTGTCTTGATTAAAGTTTCGAGTGTCTTCTATTAGGCCTCTTCCTTACAAACTGAGAAAAGGACATGGAGGTGAGTTAAAAACGAGAAAATCCTTGAGAGCAGTTGGGGAAGATTGGGAGTCATTTTCTTTCTCTCTCTCTTTTTTTTTTTTATGATTTAAGCTTGTTTAAAATTTTTTTTTTTATTGATTTATTTAGAGAGAGAGAAAGGGAGGGAGGGAGGGATAGAAACATCAGTGAGAGAGAACATCAGTTGGCTGCCTCTTGCACGCCCCCCACTGGGGATCTGGCCCACAACTTGGGCATGTGCTCTGACTGGGAACTGAATGATGACCTCTTGGTGCATGGGTCAACTCTCAACCTCTGAGCCACACTGACCAGTCTTGGAAGTTATTTTCCAAGTTTGATTTCTCTGGTAAATATATTTGAAATAAAACTATTTTGGGAGGGTGTGAATGATGTTCCTGAACTTTGTTTTATGTGTAACCATCTATTCAAAGTACATAGCAAAAAAAGTTTTTGTTTGCATGCTGCTTCTAATGCAAATTAGGTTTGGGGTGTGCCTACTGTGTGCCAGGCACTAACTAGGCTTTGAGTAAGGACCAGTTGATTTTCTCCCAACCCCTCATAGACATAGTGCTGTAACCACCTTATTAAATTAAAATTTTTCATTTTCTGGAGGACTGCAAACCAACAGGATTCAGTTTGCAGAGCAAGTTATTTCCAGGATCAGGTATTTTTGGTTGCTCAGTTTCAGATGTGTGTAATCTGCCAAGGTAGGATTAGGCTTTTTGGCTTGTTGAGTCAGCACATCACACTGAGCTGTAATGAAATGATTAGACCTCTCTGCCCATATCTTCTTCACATCTTTGGGGGTCAAACAACCCTTTCACAGGGGTCGCAAAATTACAGTTATGAAATAGCAACAAAAATAATTTTATAATTTTATGGTTGGGGTTACCACAACACGAGGAACTGTATTAAAGGGTTGCAGCATTAGGAATGTTGAGAACCACTGGATTAGAGAATTTTCAACCTATTCACATAGGTAGAATAAACTGAAGGAGAAGGAAAAGATTCACAAAAGGCAGCCAGACACATAGACATAGAAGCTGCACAGAAAGCCATAGGAAATATACTTGATTTTTCCCTTCCCAGCAGTATCCATTAGTAATAAGTATAAAATAGCACTTGGGACATCTCATTTATTCCTAGAGTACCAGTTCCTATTTATTGAGCTACTTCATGGCTGGCTTGTGCTAGGTTGCATAAAAGATGTAGCCAAATTCTTACATTGATCCTTCAAAATAATAGTTTCTCATGAGGAAATAGGTTCAGTTAAATTTGTCAAGAGCACGCAAATTTCACAACTAGGATTCAGCTCCACAACTTGCCTTACATATTGGGTGCCGTTACCCCTTACCTCAGGAACATAGGGAGTGGATGTGTTGAGGCTGGTACTTGAACCTGATTCACTGGACCACCAGCCTAGTGATTCCCTCCCTCCCTCCTCCTCCCATGATATGGCACTGCCTCCCCAGAAAGTCTGTACCCTTGTACTCAATAAATGCAGTCAGCATTTATCCCTTCTGTACTTCGTGTTCCCTGCCTGAGATAACTCCACATTAAGTTTCTCTTAATCTGATAGCAAAACCTGAATTCGGTCTAAAATGAACCATGTTTTCTAGTGCTCAAGTTTTTCAAGATGACTGTATTTCAGGTTATATCTAACGTAACTCCATCCATGCCTGTTGGGTGTTGTAGTTCACTGAGTACTGCAAATGCTTTATTTTACAGCTTTGTTAAGAAGTCTATAGCTTGGTGGATTCAAGCTAGTGAGAGCCCACTCAGAAGACAAGGGCCCACAGACGATTTTCATCAAATTCTCCAAGGGTCATGACCTTCCAAATCATTAAGAACCATGGATTCTAGTCCAACTCCCTCTTGAAATAGATGGAGAGTCTGAGATGGCAGTGTAAAGCTTGCAAGGACTTGCCCAGGATCAACACAGCAAATCAGTTGCAGAGTCAAACTTGAACCCAGTTCTCCAGACTCCCAGTATAGGTCGCAGTGGTAACAATTCATCAAACATTCTGAACAGCTGCTGTATGTATACCAGATGCTAGCTAGGCTGGTGTTGGTAAAGCAAAGGTAAGTCATATGCTACAAAGCCAGGCATCTGTTATAACAGTCCTTTTCAACCACTTCTATGTCTTTTTTATGTTGTGACCCAGAAAATATTTGTAGGGTACTGTTGAAATAAAACAAATGAGGCTGCTTGTGACCAGAGGAGTCTGGCTTGCTTGGCCACCCTGATGGCCCTAGGGGCTCACATTTGGCACACTTACAACCCATGCTTGACAGGGAAACTTTGAGCTAGGGCACCTCCTTTGAGTCTGGCAAGTACAGTATCCCCCTCCCTTCCTTAGTCTAAGTGCTGCATACTCAGAGCAGCTCCCACAAGCACCTCTCTGCCCATACCTTCTTCACATCTTTAGTTTCCCACCACAAGTGGAACATCATTTCCCTGAGCATACTATTATTCTTACATATTTCAATACCCTCTTCCCTCCCATCTCCCAGAGAACCCTCAGCCAGAATTACTCTTCCTCAAAATTTTAATCCATGACCCTAAGTTTCCATGTTCTAAACCCCGAATTTCTTCTCCACTTTACCTCAGTACCCACTAATGCTTCATCTTGGAAGCACCTAAAACTTTTCCAAATTCAGATCTCCTTTTTCTGTTCTGACCCTCATCCTGTTCTCAGATCTTTCCTTCAACCTATCATCTCTTACCATTGGCTCTTCCCCAAGGCCACCACTTTCCCTGCAGTGCTTAACTGTTGATGCTTCCAGGAATGGGTACATGCAGCATTCTTTTGATTCTCCTTTGACAAAATCTTTTTTGAAAGGTCTCATGCTATTCCGTTTATTACTCTTTAGTTCTCTCTCTTTTTGCTATTAGTCAATCACATGTTCACTAAAGATATTAGCACCTGGTTTATGGTCTCCTTCTTTCCCTAGCTCTAAATTCCAGTATCTAATTTTCTTAGCTTCTCACTTCACTTCACCTACTATAACATTCTTTCCTACTGTTATTTAACTTATAACTTCAGGTTGCCACCCTAACCACAGGGCTCTCACTTCCTTGTTTGCACTGCACTGGTCTTTAATATTACGGAGACCTGCAGTTTTAGGACTCTTTACATCAGCCCTTATACAGTCTGCACCTGAGCTGTATTCTCACAGCATTCTCAATTTATTTTAGGGAATAAACCCCAAGCCCTGGGCAAATGCTATAAACTGTATTCTCTGCTTTTGCAGCCAGATGGCTGAGTTTTGCTAGAAAAAATACAGGTGCCCTCCCCCTTCCCCTTCCTCTTCTCTCTCAAATGTGCATCTCCTAGACTCCAAGCGACCCCATGAGATTTGCAACCAGGGAAGCAATGGGCAGCAGCAGCTCGTCCTGGGCTGACTCCCTGAACCTGTCTCCAAGGCCCCCTTTTCTCTGACTTCTCACTGAGCCAAAGCACCCCCACCTACGCTCTCCTGTTGCTTCTTCCATCCGAAGCTCTTCCTGTTTCACTGTCCTCAGCTTTAACAAACATATTCTCAAACAAAAGAGTACATATAGGAGACACTTGAAACCAGGTCTTCCAACCTGAGTCCTCTCCCAAATTTTCTTCACTCTCTTCTGGTCCCTTTGCCTAGGAACTTCAACTATAAAATTGATGTCATCAAGCGTTCTCCTGATATCTCTTCCCCACCCCTCGCATCCATAGGCACGCAGGTTGTAGTTTCCTAATGTTTTAGTAGAATAACAGTGACCTGCCTCTAGTCTAAAGTGAATCCCTTCTCCAGAATTCCTTGTGCATTAGCTGGCAGGGCGTCCTGCCTCCCAAGGGACCTAGAACGGTCTTTAGCCTTTCCCTCTCCTTTGGCCCTTTTCTCTCAGCCTCTCACATCTTTACAAATAAATCTAAAGAAAACACACACACACATACCCTCTCTTATACCCTCTCACGGCCAAGTTTTTCCAAAGAGTAGTCTACAGTGGTTGTGTCCATCCTTCAGTGCCCTCCCTAGCGCACTGCAATATGCAATATGATAGAGTCCGGTCAGTGCCTGATCAGTCCCGGGCTTCGAAGGCACCAGGAGGCACAAGCTCTCCCTTTTCCCGGCTACCCTCTCCACTTTCATTCACCGTTTTTCCCGTAGTCTCGGCTCCTCCCTTTGCTTGGCCTCCCATAACTCTCGCGAGACCTGGGACCTCTGTTACGCACCGCTCCAGTTGAGCGGCGCACTTCTCGCGAGGCTGCAGGCAGGGCCGGGCCGACATGGCGGAAGGTAGGGTTTTTGTGGAGCGGCGCGGGAAAGCGTGGCGCTATGGGGCCGCTGCTGGCTGGGCGCGGCAGCCCTGAGAGGGAACGGCTGGACGTGGTCGCATGGGGCACAGCGGTGCCGCGAGCCTTCCTCTCCAGCCTGTCCGGGTCGCCTGGGGTGGGGGGTCTTGAACGCTATTCCTATGGCAACGCCCCTCCGGCACTCCGCGACCCCACGGGACCCCGGCGGGCTGTGGAGCCTGGTCGGGAGATCCCGTGCTGGAACGGAGGTGCAACCGCGGGGATCCGAAGGCGGCTGGGGCGGCTTCTTTGATTGCCCGCGGTGCTGGGACGGCGGGGGAAGTAACCCTTCTCCTTAGGAAATCGAAACTGCTGTCCTGGCAGCTCCTGCATCCGGAAGGGGTACATCCCTCGCCTGCGGAAGAGCTTGGGACTCTAATCGGGGTGAGGGGTGGGGAAGAGCCAGGGCTGCAGCTGGCCTGCGCGCTAAGCGGGCGCGCGCCGTCCTCTCCGGACTCCCCGGCAGCGCCGGCATCCGGGCCGGCTGGGAGTCTTTCTCCAGGTTTACAGATGTGGGTGGGAGGAGGGAGTTTGCTTGGTAAGGGAGTTGCCCAAGGTCACACTGCTGGAGAGTGATGTGCTGTAACCCAGACCGCTGCTCCTTTGCCTCTCAGTCTAGTCCTGAGCCTCTTTTCGGATGCCGTCTTTATGACAGTGCAGGTAAAGGCAGATCGGCCTCTCAGGTTCTAGCTCTTTTAACATAACAATACTGGAATCCTTCATTGTCAAAGCCTTATTGTATCTGGGGGATGGGGAGAGAAGGCCCAGATATGGGGCGTTACCTACCAGGAACACTGAGAAAGAGAAACATCCATCACATCCATTGGTTGCCTCCCACATGCGCCCCAACTGGGAACCTGCAACCCAGGCATGTGCCCTGACCAGGAATGGAACCTGCAACCCTCTGGTGCAAGGAGGACCCTTCAACCAACTGAGGTACCCGGCCAGGGCTGTCTGAACACATCTTACCTTTGGGCAGCACATGACATTTTGCAGACTTTTCTGATTTGGATTAGACTTCAGAACATTGTGAAGGAGGCCTGGCATGTGCGTTATTTGCACTTTATAGATAAAGGAATATAGCTGGGTCTGGCACTCACGTTTTTTGTTTGTTTCTTTGTTTTTAAATTAATAATTTTTGTATTGACAGTATTACAGATGTCGCCCATTTCCCTCCTTCCCCCCTCCATCCAGCCCCCACCCAGTTTTTGTCTTTGCTCTTTTTACCATGTTAGAGCCCTCCCGCTGGAGGAATCATCAGATGAATATTGTATGAAGGCAGAGGAGGGATAAAAGCAGAAAGAAAGCTAAGGCATTCCATGAAGCTAGTCTTAGGGTAAATCACAGACTTTTGTGTAACATTGTTTAACACCTTAACACCACAAGCAGCCAGCGAAATGGAGCCTGTTGCTCAGAGCACTGAGGTGGGGTAGAAAGGTTCAGGAAGGCCTTATGTGAGGTAATGGGTAATCCAGCACTTATACACTAAGAAGAGAAGTTGATGAGTGTTTGGGGGATACATTATCAAGGTTGAAATTGTGGAGGCAGCTGGTTTTTCATTCAACAGTTTTACTGGGCATGTGCTTTGCAGTCAGGTTCCAACCATGAGAAGCTGGTAAAGGCTGAGTATGCTGATGGTTATCTTTCAAGTGCCTTGACATGCGTGTTAGGGTGTGTCTTAAACAAGACATCCTTCAGGGTGAAATTGGCAAGGGAGGATAGATAGGTAAGCACAGTTATGAGATTCTGACTTAACAGGTTTACCTTTTTTCTTCCTTAATCCTCTTCTGAGGATATTTTTTCTATTGAGAGCCAGAGAGAGAGAGAGAGAGATACATCCATTAGTTGTGTCCTACAGGTGCCCTGACTGGGGTTGGGGATCAAAACTGCAACCCAGACCCTGGCCGTTTTGGCTCAGCGGTTAGAGCATTGGCCTGTGGTCCGTAGAGACCCGGGTTCGGTTCCCGCTAAGGGCACATGCCTCGGTTGCGGTTTGTCCCCAGCCCTGGTTAGTTGTGCGAGTGGCATCCACTCGATGTGTCCCTTTCACGTCGATGTTTCTCTCTCTCTCTCTCTCTCTCTCTCTCTGTTCCCCTCTCTCCCTCCCACTCTACCTGAACAAAAAATGGAAAAATGTCCTCGGGTGAGGATGATAAAAAAACAAAAAACTGCAACCCAGGTTCCTGCTCTTGACTGGGAATCAAACCTGTAACCCTTCAGTCTACTGGGGGTTGGGGGTGGGGGCATACTCTAATCACTGTACCACACCAGCCAGGACCACAGGTTTACCTTTTTGGCGTCCTAATTTCCTGGCCTCTTCTGATTTAAGGTCTTTGGAAATAATGTTGCAAACTTTGACTAGGAAGAATTGAGTGAGGCATTTTAGTCCAGTTAGCTTGTCAAACTGAAGGTGTTTATTGTGCAAAGGAAGGCAAGATTAGCTAGAAAAGGCTTTGCTGAGGTGTGACTTGTTTAATGCTGCTGTACTTTAATCAGAATTTATCAGGGCCAGCTATACTTGTTCTGAGATACTCATAAATATTTTAAAAATAGCATAAATCTATGTCACATAGTAATTGGATTGTCTTGGAGTACGCTGTAGGGGCATCCCTGGTGGGTTTTGTTTGGTGGTGTCTGTGGGTGAGCATGTGGAAGTAGTAGTTAGGAATAGTAACTAGAACTTGGAGAGTCTGACTATACAGTAACTTCTTTTTTTTTAATTTATTTTTATTTTTATTTTTTTATATG